TGCTAGATTTAGGAGATCTATTAGATTTAGGCTTAGGCTTATTTTACAACTATAAACCCCATGTACCTCATCATATTTTACAAGTTGAATGAAGTATTGAATTGGTGAGCCAATCTTGAGGGGGAACCTTGTGTTCTTAACGTGTGATAAAGAAGGCCATTAGTGCGTCTTTACATGCAGTGTCGGAGAGAAGGCCGTTAGTGCGTCTTGAAGTCACGGTGTCTAGGAGAAGGCCCTGAGTGCGTCTGCTAGATACATCTATCGGGGATAAACGAAGGCCGCAGTGCGTCGTTTATTCGCACCCACGTATAGGCAACCACACGATCCGTCATCATTGGTGCTCTCATTGAGAGGTGCTGATTGTGTGGTTATCTATCTTATCTTTTTATTTTTTTCGGTTTGCCTTTTGGTGAGGGACCGAATTTCTCTTATTTTTTTTGAGTCGAATTTTCGAAATTTTTTCAAAAATTCATTAAAAAAAAAAACAAAAAAGTGTCAACTTGTTAGTCCTTTGTTTGATTTTTTTCGGTTATTACCTTTTGTTGAGGGGCCGAATTTCTCTTTGTTTCGATTTTTTGAGTCTTGTTGGGGGTTCGAATTTTTTGAATTTTTCCCCATTTATTTTTCGATTTTTTAGAGTCTTAAAAAAAAATCATGTTGTTCGAGCCTCTAGTTGAGTGGGATCAAGAGGATCTCGAATATTTGGAAGGTTTGGAAAGGGAATTGACTCCATGGGAGCAAAATTATTTGGAGGAGATGTACGAGCAAAAGAAGGAGTATGAAAGACAACTCAAAATAATAGAGGAAGAGCAACAAGCCGAGGCTGATGAGAAGTTCCCAAAATCATGCGAGCAAGAAGCCAACGTGGTCGAGATCGAGGAAGAGATCTTGCTCGTGTTCAAGGAGGGCCTTGGCAAGGAGACGTGCGTGGAGGACGAAGCGATCGAGCGCGCGAATGATGTCCATGGTGAGGTCTTGGTCGAGGTAATCAAGGTTGAAGAGGAGATGTTGGGCGCGATTGAAGTAGGCCAAGGAGACAAGACGCATGCGCAGTATGATGCGAATGAAGAGGTGGTCGAAGTCGAGAGCGAGATCTTGGCCGT